TGCAAGCAGTTTTTTTCTTAATTTTTTGATGGGATGTTGGTGTCACTGGCAAAGCCAGCATTTGTTGCCAGTTAGTATTTGTCCTTGAACTGAGTGGCTTGCCAGACTGTTTGAGGACAGTTGAGTCAACCACATTGCTGTGGATCTAGAGTCATATGTGGGCCTAACCAGGTCAAAACGACAGATTTCTTTCCTCGAAGGGCTTTAGTACGAATGGCACAAAGTTCTTTAACTACATTTAGGAATTTTTAGGTAACAAGCCTAAGAAAAAGGGGTACAATTCTAGAATTATTCTTCAGAAATGAAGCTGAGCAGATGCCTGATGTGGCTGTGGGTGACCATTTTGGACATAGTGACCATAATACAGTTAGATTTAATATTTTTATAGAATAGAACAAAGATCAAATAGGAGTAAATTTTCTAAGTGGGGGAAAAACAGGCTTGCACAAAGCTGAGATATGATCTCTGGTGTAGGTGGACTGGATATAACTACTTGAAGGAAAATCAGTGGTAGGCATTTAAAAGCAATATTATGCAGGCTCAGTATTGACATGACCCCATGAAGGAAAATGTGGTGTACTATCAAATCTAGAGTATCCTGGGTATCCAGAAGCATACAGGATGATTGTGTGTCGTAAAGGGTGTATGCCGCATAGAAGGGTAGACCGATGTTTTATTTTTACATCAAGAACAAGTGGATGACTAAGGAAAGTGTTGGGCCTATCAGATGTATAAGGTAACCCACACAGGGATGCAAAGATGCAGGACGGGTTCCTAATGAGCAACAAAAACAACATTTTTGTAGAAACTCAGCAGGTCTGGCAGCATCTGTGGAAAGAAGAGTTAATATTTCAGGTCCAGTGACTAATCTTCAGAGCACGATGAAGAATGGTCATTGGACCTAAAACATTGTCTCTGCTTTCTCTCCACAGATGCTGCCAGACCTCACGAATTTCTCAAGCAATTTCTGTATTTGTTTCAGATTTCCAGCATCTGCAGTTCTTTTTGTTCTTATTGAGTATTTTGTCTCTGTCACAAGGGAGTGGGATGATGCAGACATTCTCGTTAAAGAGGCGAGTGAGATATTCGATGCATAAAGCATAATGTGGGGTAAAGTACTGGAAGGACTGACGTATTAAAGGTGAATAAATCACCAGGGCTGATGGATTGCATCTTGGGCTGTTAAAGGATGTCTGGGAGGAAATAACAAACATTCTGAGGATAATTTTCTAATCCTAACTAGATATAGGCAAGATACCAAAGGCTTGGAGACTTATCATCATAGAACCCCTACAATGTGGAAACAAGTCCTTCAGCCCAACAAGGCCACACCGACTTTGAGCATCCCACCCAGACCCATCCCCCTGAACACTACGGGCAATTTAACATGGCCAATCCACCTAGCCTGCACATCTTTGGACTGTGGGAGGAAACCAGAGCAAACCCACGCAGACACGGGGAGAATGTACAAACTCCACACAGACAGTTGCCCAAGGGTGGAATCGAACCCCGGGTCCCTGACACTGTGAGGCAGTAGTACTAATCACTGAGCCACCGTGCTGCCCTAAATAAATGTTGTGCTATTGCTCTAAAAGAGACTGAGGGGTGGGTCATATAATTATAGGCTGATCAGTCTGAGTTTGGGGATGGGAAAATTATTAGAATCAGTTCTGAGAGAATAAACTTTTGCTTAGAAACACATGGATCTATCTGGGATAGGCAGCACATTGTTGTTCAGGGAAAGTCAAGTCTTACTAAATTGAATTTTTTTTGAGGAAGTAGCAAGAGGATTGGTTAAGATCATGATGTAAGGCATTTTATAAGGTCCCACATAGCATCCTGATCATAAAAATAAATGCCTGTAAGAAAACCGGGAAGTCTATCACGTTTCATCTAAATTGACCCAGTGACAGAAAACAAAGGTAATGGTTGATTGGTTTTGCAAATGAAATGTGGGTTATGGTTGAGTTCTGTAGAGCTCCTCTTTGGGTCCCTTACTGTTTTTTTTTTAAATTCTTTCATAGTGTTGGCATTTGTGCTAAAGCCAGCATTTATTGCTAATCCCTAATTGCCCTTGAGCTGAGCAAACTGCTCAGTCATTTGAGGCAGCCACATTATTGTGGGTCTGGGGTCACATTTAACCAGTGTACCCATGTGATAGATCAGGTAAGGACAGCAGATTTTCTTAAAGGACATGAGTGAACTAGATAGGTTTTTACAACAATTGATACTTTGGTTGTCATCACTGAGAGTAACTTTATATTCCGGATTTATTAATTGAATTTAAATTCCACCAGCCGCTCTGGTTGGATTTGAATCTCTGTCCCCAGAAAATTAGACTAGTGACATTGCCACAACACCACTACTACTGCTGAATACACGTTAAAGATTTGGCTACAAATGTGGGGCATGTGGTTTGCAGGCAACACAAGTCTACATGTTGCTGATCGTGATGAAGATGAATCAACTGTGAAATTATATCAGTGGTTTGGTTGAATGGGCAGAAGTTGTCAAATTTAATCTTGAAGTGTGAAGTAAAGCACTTAGTGAAGACAAATGAAGCTAGGGAGCACAGTAAATGATGGTTTATTAAGTGCATGTCCACAGGACCGTGAAGATGGATATAAGGTGGTAAAGTAACCATGCAAAAGTACGGACCATCAGGTATAGGAGCAGAATTAGGCCATTGGGGTCTGCTTCAGCATTTGATCATGGCCGATGCACTTTTTCTTTTCAACTCATTCTCTTGCCCTCTTCTCATAATCTTTGATCCCCTACTAATCATGAATCTATCTATCTCTGTCCTAAATGCCTCCACAGATTCATCGTCCTCTGGCAGAAGAAATTCCTCCTTGTCTCAGTTCTAAAGGGGTATCCTTTCACTCTGAGGATGTCCTAGTTTCTCCCATTGGTGGAAACATTTTCTCGACATCCGCTCTGTCCAGGCCTATCGTTATTCTGTAAGTTTCAATGAGATTCCCCCCCCTCCCCACCATGCTTCTAAATTCCATACAGAACAGAGAATCCTCAACCACTCCTCGTATGACAAACAATTCATTCTTAGGATTATTCTTGTGAACTTCCTCTGGACCCACTGTAAGGCCACCACATTCTTCCTTAGATACAGGGCCCAAAATCATTCGCAATATTCCAAATTCGGTCTGACCAGACCTTACACAGTATCAGTAGTACGTATCTGCTGTCTTTTCTAGCCCTCCTGAAATGATTGCTAGTGTTGCATTTGCCTTCCTAACTGCCAACTGAACATGCCTATCAATCTTAAGAGAATCCTGAACAAGGACTCCTAAGTCCCTTTGTGCTTCAGACATCCAGAGCCTTTCCACATTTAGAAAACAGTCTACGTTTCCATTCTTCCAACCAAAGTGCGTAATCTAACACTTTCCCGTATTGTATTCAATCTGCCACTTCTGGTGAGGCCACTACTAGAGTTATGGTCACTATTACAGGAAAGCCATAATGGCTCTGAAGAGAGTAGTGCGGAGATTTGAGCAAATGTTGTTAGGACTTGGAAAATTGCAGCAAGCAGGAAAGATTTGCTCGAATAAGGTTGCTTTCTTTAGAGCAGAGAAAGTTGAGGGGAAGTTTATACAAGATGATCAAATTGAGGATGGGCCCAGATAAAGTGGACAGGAAAAACCGGTTTCCCCAGTACAAAAATCAATTACCATGGGGATGCAGATTTAAGGTTTAAAGGTGACATGACAAAAAGCTTTTTCATCCAGACAGTGGCGCATGTCTAGGATTTACTGCCCAGTTTCATTGTAGAGGAAAAGATTCTACACTCTTTTAAAAGGTACCTGGATATGCATCTGAAGTGCTGAAACAATGGACCAGATGCTGGGTGGTGGAATTCAAATGGGTGGCTGGTTTTATTATTTGCTGGTACATCATAATGGGCTAAATGGCCTTTGTCTGTGGCGTAACTTTTCTGTGGTTCTAAGTCAGATTTTTTAGAGAAGTTGAGATCAGAAGCCCACGTTGGATTAAATTTAGAGCTACTTATAATGTGTTCTCTTCTGGGGTTACAAGTATACTGACTAAAAGCTTCATGATTAAAGCTGTTCAAAACACAGCAGTTTCAGCCATTTGACTAGGGGTTTGGGTTACAATACTCAGTTAATGAGGCCGATTTGAAAACAATTGAAGCTTGTAACTGTGGAGCCATTAGCACCAAGTCAAATATAATGGGTTTCATTGGGTAGCTGTTCTGACGAATGGTCACTAAACTCAAAATGTTCACTCTGTTTCTAAAGATGCCGCCAGACCTAATGAGTTTCCCCGGTGCTTTTTGCTTGTGTTTCAGATTTCCAGCATCTGCAGTTCTTTGTTTTTATTATGGGTTTCAATGGCTTTGATTTAAACCAACATCAGCTGTAGAGATACGTCGTCTGGTGTTTCCATTTTCCAGCTTGACTATGTTGTTCATACAAATAGAAGGTGTGATGTTGCAGAGCAATGCTGAATTCTGTTTTGTTCTGGTGAAAATTTCTAAAAGCAGCAAACTTGCTGATAGTGTGTTCACTTTTTTTTAAAAGGATTTGAGCAAAATTACACTTTTTTTTTAAAAATTAGAATCTTTCTCTTCAAGCTCTCTGTACATATGATATACACATAGAGTTGATTCTATATTACATATATAAAAACGCGTGTGTGTACACTTGTCCCCCTTTATCTACCACGCTGCATCCTCAAAGACCTCTACTGAATTTGTCAAGCCTGATTTCCCTTTTGCAAGATCGTATTGACTCTATTTGATTGTATTATGATTTTCTAAATGCCTTCAATGAATTCTTGCACTTTACACAAGTTTCCTGCTTTTTGTGTCTCTCCTTTCTTGAATAGTCATGTTACATTCGTCCTAAAGATCACGTTTTTAAAAATTGAGTTACAAAGTGCTAAAAAACAGTTTTTGAAATTTATTCACAAGCCTCAATGTTTTGGTTTCATTTCCTAATCTTTTTTTATTTTTTTTCCCCTAGTTAAGCAAAACTGGCAGCAAGGATGATGAGTAACCAAGTTTATGGACTGGCGTTAACTAGAATGTCAGATTTATTTTTGCTGGAGCACATTCATTTTTCATGTTTGTGTGGAAAACCTCTTTGGTAAAATTACAGCATCCATTTGGTATGAAATCATTGTGGGTTTTGTTTTTACTCTACAGACTAGTTGCACATTTCGAAGGCAATTGTTGCACTAAATCTGACACTCAAATTGATCTATTTACAAAGCAAAATAAATATAGAATAACTTGAGCTACCATTAAGTTGGGCACATGGTCACAGATCGCTTTGTTGCACATATTTCTAGTGGAGTGTACCTCTGTTAGTCATGTTTTTAATTAGAAAACCATGATTGATTGATTGTTTTCCTGAACAGTATGGTGAAGCTAGTGACCTGGCTGCAACCATGCTAACTGTTATTTTAAGGAGGGTATTATGGACTGTACCTCTTTATCCATCATCTCCCCTTTTGATATCCTGACTTATCATCATGAGGAAATCAACGGAAAATATTCAGGATTTGAATAAAGTTTTTAATATTTTTAATTACATGGACTCTTATTATAAAGCAGGAGATTTTTCTCTCACATGCGTTCATGATCAATGCAACAAAAGAAACACGTCATGTTATCTAGCAAGATGTCAGGATTATATTTGACAGAGACATAATAGTCTGGTATGTTATATGCAAGTCATCAGTTAGATTGGAAAGTTCTTAAAAAGATTAGCAAATCAAGGGCAGGCAATGATTAATGCATACCTAGATGCCTGCAGGCCTATTACTTACTGGTTACGAAGTTTGGTGCTGGGTCCACTAAGTGATTTACAGAAAGTAATTGTGGCCAAATTTTCAAATTTAACACCATGCCAAATTTGTAGTGCCAGATCGTACATAACAATTTACATCTAACAATAAGAATCTTTACAAGCTTGATCAGTGAGCAAAAATCAGTAGATGCAATTCCATTGGTTTAATTTATGGTTTCATAGGATGCCAGTATTGTTGGGAAGGTCAGCATCTAGTCACAATATACATAAATTTGAAAGATGGGAACTAAATATAAAATTTCCAAATCTGTGAATGTGGGAAACTAAGTAGGAATGTGTTGTGAGGAGATGTAAAGCAGCTTCAGGAGAATTTAGCCAGACTTGAACAATGGGTTAGAACATGACAGATGGAAGAAAATGTTGAAAAATGTCAGGCTATCCACTTATGAAGAAACAGTATTTCTTTGCAGCTGAGTATTTCTTAAATGGTAAGACATTGTCCTTTTGTAAATATTTACATAGATGTCACTGAGCAACTGAAAGCTAACATGAAGGTGCAGCAGGCCTATAAAGACATAGGAGCAGAGTAGACCGTTTAGTCCATCAAGTCTGCACTGTCATTCAATAAGAGCGTGGCTAATCTGATAATCCTTAAGTCCACTTTCCTGCCTTTTCCTGTAATCCTTGATTTGCTTACTTATTAAATATCTGTCTATCTCAGCCTTGAATATATTTAATGACCGGAGCTAAACAGCCTTTTGTGGTCAAGAGTACTGCAGATTCATTACCCTCTCAGAAAAGAAATTTCTCCTCTCTGTCTTAAATGTGCACCCTTTATTCTGAAATTTTTTGTACTCACTCACAGGACATGGGTGTCACTGGCTGTCCCAGCGTTTATTGCCTGTCCCAGCGTTTATTGCCTGTCCCTGGTTGCCCTTGAGAAGGTTATGGTGAGCTGCATTTTTGAGCTCCTGCAGTCCACATGTTGTAGGTTGACCCAGAATGCTCTTAGGGAGAGAATTTCAGGATTTTTGACCCGGCGAAGGAACGGTGATATATTTCCAAGTCAGGATGGCAAGTGGCTTGGAGGAGAATTTTTCAGCGTCCCATTTATCTTCTACCCTTGTCCTTCTAGATTGATGTATTTTTGGGATTGGAAATTGTTGTCTGAGGATCTTTGGCAAATATCTTATGCTCTCTGGTCCTAGATTGAATCCAATGCCAGTATATCTCCCTTAGATAAGGGGCCAAAACTATTTACAGTATTCCATCTACGGTGTGACTTACACCTTGTTTAATTTTAGCAAACCTACCTAAATTAATGTACTTTAGGGAGATTCATAGAATATTAGCCTTCATTGCCAGAAGGTTCAAGGACAAGTGTAGTGAAGTCTTGCTTCAATTGTGTAGGATCTTGGTTCGACCACACCTGGAGGTATTGTGTGCAGTTTTGTCCTCTTTTCTAAAGGAAAGCTATTATTTCCATAGAGGGAGCGCAACAAAGTTTGACCAGACTTGTTCATGGGATGGTGGGACTGACCTATGAAGAGAGAGGTGGAAAATGGACCTGTATTCTCTAGCATTTCAAAGACTGAGAGGTGATTTTAATAAAACCTGCAAAAGACTTAAAAAATTTGATCGTATAGATGCAAGTAAGATGTCTGGAAGTGAACTGGGGACACTGTTCACAAATGAAGGGGATGATACTCTGGTCCAAGGTGAGAATTTTTATTAAACTTACTGGGTTGTGAGCCTTTAGATCTCTTTTTCTCCAGAGGGCTATGGAAGCTCAGCCTTTGAGTCAAGGTAGCGATTGATTTCTGATTATCAGTTGCATACTTATGTGGATAGGCTGGGTAAAAACCACCAGAATGTTCAATCAGCCATGGACATAATGAATGTAGGGGCACGCATGAAGCGCTGAATGGCCTACTTCTGTTCCTATATCCACTTGTTACCCATTCTCAACTGCTGTTGAACTGATGGGTTTGCTATTTTACAGGGTAGTTCAGTTGGCCATGCTACTGCACCAAAATTACTATTGATGCCCATTGAAATGGCACCACTAGGCAGACATCCATAATGCCTGCCAAATGGTGGAAGTTCTTAAGAGTTTTTTTGTTTTGGAGCTTTAGTGTAGTGATGTTCATCCAAGTGGCTGAATCTATAACCTGCGACATTTCTACATCAGCATATTTGTCAAATAGCAACTAAGTAATTTTAGAAGTCAAAGGCATTTAATTAGCTAAAGAGAAAAAATAAAACTTGCATTCGTGTAAATCTTTTCACAACGAATGGGTGCCTCAAAACTCTTTGCAGTCAATGAAGTATATGTCAAATGGACAAACAAATAGAGAATGCTGGAGAAACTTGGATCTGGCAGCATCTGTGGAGAGAAAGACTTAACATTTCTAGTCATCTGACCCTCCTTCAACTGGAACTGATCTCCAGCATCTGTCGTTCTTTTTTTATTGAGATATTTTTGAAGTGTAACTGTTATAGTGAGAAAACATACACATACAGCAAACACCAATGGAACAATTACTAGATTTTTTTTTGTGTGTGTGTGTAATATTGATTTGGGAGACGAATTTTGAGTAAGATCCTGTGGATAATTTCCCTTCTGTTCTTCAAAATAGCACCGTGGCATCCAAGCAGATAGGTTACACCTCAGTTTAATATCCCATCTGAAAGAAAGCACCTTCAATACCCTCAGCCTTGATCTTTGTACTCATGTCCTGGAGTGGGACTTGAACCCAAAACCTTATAATTCAGAGGCAATAAGCACTGCCAAGTGAACCATAGTTAACAAGCACGTTCCTCCTTCGTATCCAGTAAACTTCAATGAAGGTTTACATCAGTAATTGATGTGTACTGTTATGAGTGAGGCAGACTAGCTACTTAAATGATACAGGTGTAAATAAATCATGTTTGGATGAAAGTGCCTGCTAACTGTGGAGCCATACTTAATAAAGGGTCAATAGACCTTGTTTCTATTTCTGCACATCTAAGGTATAATACTAAGTATTTTGACTACATTTGCACTATTGTGCATTAATTTGTCAGTGAAATGCTCTGTCAAACATTTTCACAACGAGTTTTTAGGATATAGAATGCGCTGTCTGGAAGTGTGGTGGAAGTAGTCAAGCCATTCAAGAGAGCTTTGGATGGTGCTGATATGCAGGGATATTGAGAAAAGACAGGAAATTGGCACTAGATAATAGGGCCAGTGATAGATTTAATTGCCTCCTTCTGCACCATATAATTATTTGGATTTACTCTATTTCTGATCATAATTAATTATTCAACTTACTAATTCTCCAATGTCAGCAATGTTTTTAAAAACTCTAAGTAATGTGATCGCATCTAAATTGCTATAAATGTTCCAACTGCCAATAAAATGCTATTGAAACAATCACTCTTATAAGGAAATGCAGCATTCCAGCTGTGATGGAATGTACATTAAAATTCAACCTACCTCCATGTACCATGTTCACCCTTATGTACCTCAATAAAGTATTAAAAATCTTAATACTTACATTACATGTCAAGCATATAGCCCAGGGCAAAGCATTTCAAACAGAAAATTTCAGAAAGTGGAATGGAAATAATCTTTTCTCTGGATACCATGCATCGCTATGTCTCAATACAGTTCAATACTCTGATGTTCAATGTACATTCCTTGTCAGACATACAGCTAAAGAAGTTCTCATTTCCAGTCCACCAGTGTAGAATGGCTGAAAGGCTTTAGACAGTGATGTTCCGCCACTGTGCATCAAGGTTTACTGCATCCTTCATCACATGGTCCTGGACTTTAGAGTGGGTCAGTCTGCAACACTTTGGTAAGGACAACTGCACTGGAAGAACAACCGGTTTCAGGAAGAACAAAGAGCAACCTTCACGAATTGATGATCTTCCAACTGCAGTTGATGTTTGTCATAGTGTGTGTCCCTGGGACTACCTTGTAAAGTGCAAACTACTATGTCATGGAGCTGCTTGACTCAACCTTGATGAAAACCCACTGTATCTCAGCTGCCAGATCAACTCACTCCTCATGCAGTGACCATGGGGTTTTGCATGCTGACCAGAAGTGTTTTTTCTGCAAAAACATCTCCCTGAAGAACGGTGGTACAACATCTGTCATGGTGTGGTTTGAACCAATGTCCTAAGAGCATTAGTTCTGAAGAGCAGTCGTATCAGATTCAAAAGAATACTGTGGTGAGTAACTCACCACCTGGTTTCCCAAAGCCAGCCCGCTATCTACAAGGCACAAGACAGGAGTGTGCTGGAATTGTCCCCTACTTGCCTGGAGAGTGCACCTCCTCCAACGACACTCAAGAAGCCTGACACCATCCTGGACAAAGCAGCCCGCTTGTTTGGCACTACATCCCATCCACTCCCTCCACCACCAACACTCAGTAGCAGCAGTGTGTACTATCTACAAGATGCACTGCAAAAATTCACCAAAGATCCTCAGACAACATCTTCCAAACCCATGACCACTTCCATCTAAACGAACAAGGTCAGCAGATATATGGAAACACCACCACCATTCAATTACCCTCCAAGCCACTCACCGTCCTCACTTGGAAATATATCGCCATTCCTTCATTGCTGCTGGGTCAAAATCCTGGATATCCCTCCCTAATAGCATTGTGGGTCAACCCACAGCAGGAGGACTGCAGCGGTTCAAGAAGGCAGCTCACCACCACCTTCTCCAGGGCAACTAGCAATGGGCAATAAATGCTGGCCAGCCAGAGATGCCACAGTCCACATTG